TCAGCATGAGTCCGGAAGCTGGAAACCGGCTGTTATCATCCGACCTGCAGAGACTCCCCGCTCTTTCGTGATCCGCACTGGCGAGGGACAGATTATACGGCGTAACCGACGGCACCTGAGAGGCGACAAGGCGTCACCGACACCCTCAACACCAACATCCGATCCGGTAATCCAGCTAGATCGTGCAGCTCAACAAGAGACAGAGCCCCTGTTGTCATCTGGAGACACCAAAACACCAGGCATGGACACTAGCCTTGCATTGACTACCAGATCAGGGCGAGTAGTCAAACCAAGGGTCATCCTTGACCTGTGATTGTAAAGGGTGTAGGCGGATCGCTGCCCTAAAGAAAATAAGCATGTCAAATGTTGATGTACTGATGAGTGCATACCCTGTTACATTGTTGATGAGTTGAATGCCGCGTTGGTTTTGCACATGACAGTGTTGGTAAACTGTTCCGTATATGCATGTCCAGGATGTTCTACGTTGAAATGCATATCAGCTATGTTACTGGCAGACTTTTTTAAAAAAAAGGGAGATGTATTGTTATGATGTCTGCACTCCGTGCTTATTGTCCTTTGTGGGTTGCCGTAGAGGCAAAGGGAATTGTGGGATGGCGGAAGTGAATGATATGGCATGTTGGAACCGCACGAGCAGCAATAAAGATAGATGGTGGCTCACAAATCAGATTACGGATATTTATGTATAAGTCTACGGACAGAATATTACACGCACCAGATGTCCAAACCACCTCAACTGGCTCCTTTCAACGTGGAGAAGCAGCGGTTCTACTCTGAGGCCCTCCCGTATATCCGAACTTCTCACCCTATCCCTAAGGGAGAGCCCAGACACCCTGCGGAGAAATCTCATTTCGGCCGCCTGTATTCGCGATCTCACTCTTTCGGTCATTACCCATAGCTCATGACCATAGGTGAGGGTAGGGACGAAGATGGACTAATAGATCGAGAGCTTTGCTTTTCGGCTCAGTTCTTTCTTAGCCACGACGGACCGGTTAAGCGCCTGCAGAACTGCAGACGCCGCTCTGATCCGTCTGTCTAGCTCTCGATCTCGCCTACCCTCACTTGTGAACAAGACCCCGAGATACTTGAACTCCTCCACTTGAGGCAGTACTTCTTCCCTGACCTGAAGAGGGCAATCCACCCGTCTCCGGCTGAGAACCATGGTCTCGGACTTAGAGGTGCTAATCCTCATCCCCGCCGCTTCGCACTCAGCTGCGAACCACCCCAGAGCACACTGGAGATCCCCAACAGAAGAAGCCAACAGGATGACATCATCCGCAAAAAGCAGCGAGGCAATCCTGAGGCCACCAAACTGGACACCCTCAACACCCTGGCTGCGCCTAGAAATCCTGTCCATAAATATTATAAACAGGACCGATGACAAAGGGCAGCCCTGGCGGAGCCCAACCCGCATTGGCAACACGTCCGACTTATTACCGGCAATGCGGACCAAGCTTCTGCTCCGTTCGTAAAGGGACCGAATCGCCCACAACAGCGGACCCCGGACCCCATACTCCTGAAGGACCCCCTACAGAGCACCTCGGGGAACCCGGTCGTAAGCCTTTTCCAAATCCACAAAACACATGTAGACTGGATAGGCAAACTCCCAGGCCCCCTCCAGTACCCTTGCAAGGGTATAAAGCTGGTCCAGTGTTCCACGAAAACCGCATTGTTCCTCCTGAATCGGAGATTCGACTATCGATCTCACCCTCCTCTCCAGTACCCCGGAATAGACTTTCCCAGGGAGGCTGAGAAGTGTGATTTAGTTTTTTAATTTCTTAAAAATACTTCAGAAACTGTACTTGTTTTGATTGAATGACGTAAAAATATTTGGAAAATGTAAATAGAAACTGTAAAATAGTCATATATATTATTTTGTCAGCTAACCCTAATCTTCTTGCACTTGGATCTTTGTCAGCATGTATTTAGTAAGAACATAAGAACATAAGAAATTTACAAACGAGAGGAGGCCATTCGGCCCATCAAGCTCGTTTGGGGAGAACTTAACTAATAGCTCAGAGTTGTTAAAATCTTATCTAGCTCTGATTTAAAGGAACCCATGGTTTTAGCTTCCACTACACTAGCAGGAAGACTATTCCATACTCTGACTACACGCTGTGTAAAGAAGTG